CAAAGTTGTAACTGACTCAGTCAGTAACCAATACCTGTCACTTTCTATATCGCCCAAAGAGGTAACACCCTTACACCACATCTTTCTCAATGGTTATCAGTCTTTTCAATATTTATTAATGTATTACTATATGATAGTAACTTTTGCCTAACCACATATTTTTATAATTGAAAAAGGCTTCATTTTCATCATTTTTTTATTCTACACATTTGTATATTGACTATTTCATTGATTCAATTATAAAAATAGAAAAAATGCACGGTAATAATAACCGAAACAAAGACCTTTGTATATTCCTAACCACTGCCTATAAGGTCACTTCAAACAGGACAATGGACTAGATTCCATTTGCATCAGACCTCAGAGCTCCAGACACGTATTCATCGTACACAACCCATATGCCACAGATAGTCATCTTCAGACCAACACTGTCCATCTTTTTCAACACGCATTTCTATTTCTTTATTGTGTAAATCACAAATTCACTAATAATTTTAATCAGTACGATTTAAAAAAAACAAAGAGAGCCTTGATGTATAAAGAATTATTCTTACTTTAACACATTAATACAAGAATATGATCTATTTATATTCCTGAAACCTCTCAACAGAAAAAGTTTCATCAGAGGAAATATACTACTTATGTCTGCATTGGACCTCAGAGTTCCAGACATGTTTTCATCGTTTAGGACTCTTCCCGAAACGATCATCATCATTGGTCCATGATTGAATCTCTTTTCTTTGCTCAATTCTGTTCATTGACTAATTCAGTAATGCACTCATAATAACTAAAAAAACCCTATTATTCACAAAATCTTAGAAGAGTCATGATATCCCTATTGTGTATATAGATCATTCTCACATCAACGTATCCCTTTTTTTTAATTAGATGCTGTTTTTCACTGATGCAGTAATCAATTAATGTGTCATAAAATTCAATAGTTATCACTGGGCTACACTTGGCCTTCTGTTATTCTATATGGAACATTCAAACAATACAATGAATACACACACAAACAAAAACAAACAAACAAACAGAAATCAACAAAATTGTGACAAGAAATTTGACTATTACTCACATTGGTCTCTGTGCTTCTAACCCAGAGATGCAATCATAAGGTGCATCCCCACAGAATAATGCTTCATCAGCGCGAATGTGTCCATTTTGAACAATATGAAGTACAGCCAATGAGAAAAATAAAGGAAAGAAAATTTATCGTCATTGACTCTTGCATTCTACGTCTCATTTACCCAGACCTTTAGGAATGCATAGCTTTTTCTAATGTAGACATTGTTTTCTCCTGAAAGAAAGAAAAACCTCATACTTGACACTGACTCAGAAAAACAAAATCGACTTCCCATACTTCAAGTCTATCTGAATCTTAGCCACAGAGGTCACATCTTTCATCCACTGATTTCATAATGAGCACCAGTGTTGGGAATTTCTCTTACTATTTCTTTCCTCACCATTTATGTTCACAATTAGACAATAATATATCTGTTCTTCTTCATCTATTATCTATATCTTTAAAGGTACTCTCACTGATGTATTAATAGTTTTAAAACTCAGTCTTAGAACTTGAACTTTAAACATTCATAACGTCTGTCCATAGGATGAAATAAACAAAGAACTAGAGTATGAAATGTCTTGGGCCTCAAGGTTCCAGACCTTTTTCATTTGTCATCCATGACTCATCTGCTAATCATCACTGGTTCATTTGAGACCTAGTTTTAGGTCATTCATTTATATATTTGCATCAATTAAATCCTTATTCATTGATAATAATAAAATAAATACATGATTAACAAAAAACAAAGAACAAGACACTCGAATACCCCTGACTTGTCTCTAATTAATACCAAAATAGATTATACCTTTCATTAATAAATATCAATGTTAGATATCATCAATAAATCAACATAAGGTTTCATATCATATTTATCATTGGGCCACAGTTAACCTTTTGATGATACCTATCACGTTTGAGAATACAATGAAAACAGTTGAACCAATTCCCCAAACCAAGACAGGACCCCACCCGGGTCTCTGTCCCACAGCAACCTGAAAAGGAGAACCTTGATCAAAATGGAGGCTGAAATCACCTTGAGCTTCTATTCTGAAAAGTACCAGAGGTGGTGATGACCGAGATTGAGACTTTCACACCATGGATAGGCAGATTTCTTGATTGATGCTTTCATTGAATCAATTAGCATAACCAATGAAAACGCATGAAGAGAAAGGCCACATTTCTTGTGTATTGGACCTCAGAGCTCCAGACACGTAACTATTCGTCATCGATGACTCATACGCTGGCATTTATCGTCATCGATACAGAAAAGATGACTTTCTCTTCATTCTATATGGTTCACTGATTCATACGTTAATTCACTAATGCCAATTTTGACACTCTTGGGTTTGCCAAAACCCGGCGAGGCCTCAATATCGTTCACCTGTCTCTGTAACCATTCTCACATCATCATATCTCTCTCATATTTATCATCGGGTTTTTGCTTCACAAAAGTTCCTTGTTTATCAGTGGGATAAAGATGCCCTCCTTTAATTTTCTTTCACTCATTTTGTTAGCACAGTCATTACTTTTAGAGAATCCACCCACCCCCAGACTAGGAACTAGATGATGCTCACATGGGTGTTCTGGCTCTTACAACCAAGATGCCATCCTAGGCTGGCACCTGAGGAAGAATCCTCATTTCTGGTCCAGTGCGTCCACTCTGAGGAGTATAAAACAAAGCAGAAGATAAAAATGGTGGAGACAATCCACTCGTCCCTGCTTCCGCATTCACATTGCTATGTAAGCTATCCCTAACGTAGCGGATATGTGAAATCTTATGAAGATGAACCATTTTGATCTTGACACTGCACTACATGATGAAGATTGTCCATCACTTCTCTCGGCAGCCCCATCCTTACCCTAAGTGATAACAGTCAGGTACCATTCATTTTTAATTGAAATTCAGGGTGTCCGTGGTACATTAATAGTATTTCTTGGCTCAGCACATATTTCAGTAATTGGAAGTTGTTTTGCTCCATTCATCTTTATTTTTAATTATATATTTATTTACAGATTCTCGCATTTTCCAATTACAATAATAGAATGACTATCCATGAACACAAAGATCACAAATAAGCCCCTCCTTTATTCTTGACATCTGTTTACAGGATGCCTTCTCGAGTTGAGAATGGACTCAATTAATTTAATATTGGACCTCAGAGTTCCTCAGAGCTCCAGAGTTCCAGAATATACTGGTATATTCACCATATACCACTCATAATGATGACCGGAAATCATCGCTGATCCAATATTGTTCCTATTTTCCTACATATATTTCTATTTTTTATTGATTAAATAAAAAATTCACCAATACTTTTGGCAGTACAACTCAAAAAAAAGAAACAAGAAAAGCCTTGATGTATATAGAATAATTTGTGCTTAAAAATATATCTCTTTAATACATTGTTTTCCATATGTGCATTAATCAATATAATAGTTTGTATATCAATACTCAACAATGAGATGTAGCTGCCTTCTTTACTTATATTCCACACTTCTTAATAATACGGTAAATTACTTTGGTAAAAAAACAGAGAATTTCAACTGTTACTCACATTAATCTCCATCCTCCTATTATACAGAGGCAACCAGAGCTCCTGTGCATGGACGATGCTAAATCATCTCTGCTGCCTTCATTCTGAGGAGTACAGAACACGGAAGATGATAAAAATATTGAGACCTAATCGCCACTGATCCTTGTTTTCTGCATTTCATTTACTCAGTAGTTAGGTATTATTAGTTTTTCTTTCTCTCTTATCTCGTTAAAAGAAAAAACACTCAATCTTTAGTCTGAGGCAGAACAATTAAACTGTCTTTGCTGATGCATCTCTATCTAACTTTGGTCCAAGAGGTGACCTTCACCCAATTATTTAATGGGCAGCAGTGTTTTCAATGTTTGTTAACAGTATCTTTTGCCAAACAAAACACATTCACATTTGGACAACGCTTCACCTTATTTTTCCTTATGTTTATTTATATTTGCTTAAAGGTTCTAACACAGATCCATTAATA